AGCCTTTTGGATGGGTTGGGGGTTTCGGTTGGATGAGCAACACAACTTTCACCGGTTGCCGCGACATGGTGTTTCCTGTTCGTTGAACTGTATGGGTGACTGGAACCGAACTCATGTGCGTCAATGATCTGGTACCCCATTAGGGGAACCGATGTGATGCGATCCACTCAGGCGGGGCATCCGCGACGAGCCAGGAACCCGACAGGTCGCACAACAAACGCGCGGAACAAACGAACCCGTCAGGAGCCTCAGAAGGACAAACCATGGTGAATGGTTTGGGTATCGAATCCAAGACCTATGGCCGTGTGGAGCCTAGCACCTTGGATGATTGCCTGTGTGATCGCTGTTTTGTCTGCCGCTGTTGCCTTTTCTTTTCCTGCCTTGTGTCCCCGCTTGTCTGCCTGTCTCTTTACTTGTTTCTGCACTTGTTTGTTTGCGTGATCGGCGTTTTGTCTGTCGCTGTCTCCTTGCATGTCTCCCCAGTTGTTTGCCTGCCTGCTTGGTGCTTTTTTTGCTGCTGATGCTGCTGCCGCCTTGTCTCCTTACTTGTCCCCCACTAGTCTCCCCACTTCTTTTGTTTGATCGGTGTTTGTTTGCCGCTGCTACCTTGTCTCCTGATTTGTCTTCCTGCTTCTCTGGTTTTATTTGGCTACGCAATATTTTTTTGTCCCAGGTGCTTTTGTCTTTAGAGTCAGTTTGCTATCTGGGGTTTATGCCGGTGTACTCTCCTTTTGTTTCCCGGCTCTCCTGGATGGCTGGGCTGGGATGATGTCTGGCCCTTTTCTATCCTCTTGTCTCCCTTTGTCTCCCAACGAAACAAGATGCCTCTCTTTGGCAGAAAAGAGATTCGCCGGCAAAGAGACGTATCAGTTTTGGGGTCGATGATTGTTTTTCTTCAGCGCTTGGAGAGAGTCAGACTGCAGTTTGATAGAACAACCTTTTATCGTGGACAGTCCTGTCGTCGCAGCAACCCTTGGAAACCCGAGGACGTTGCCTGCCGTGAGGATTGCGACTGCGACTGTTGGAGGCGACCGATGAGCTTGGACGGTTGCAAACTTCGGTGAGGTCTGTAGCTCATCCTGTTTAGCCCGCATTCCGCCATGGGTTCCCCTATATACACTTGGTCTAAGAGGTCTTCGTGCAAGTGCAAGCGTTGGAATTCTCAAGAACCCGAGGTCTTCGTCAACCAAGTGCATGCTGATGAAGGTAGAACTGATGAGGTAAGACAATCTGTACCCCGTAACTACCCAGAGCAGTGTTTTTGGGATCCTAAGGTGTGATTTGCAGACTCGCTTGTCTACAATCAAGACGGACCCCATAGGGCGTCAGCATCCTATTTACTGTAAGGTTAAATATCTTCCTAGGAGTTGAACGGCGATTTGGACGATTGTTTTAGGTGTCCTGATTGAGTTTAAAGGGATTGGAAGCTCCTCTTGGAACTCTTTGGTTCTTCGATTGTCATGTCTTTCGGGTCAAGCTATTCAAAGAAATGGCTCTAAATTTAATCGCGCGTCCTTGACATGCGACATCGAACCTTCACAGATCAAGCTGTCAGGCTTCATGAAGATGTTAACCCAGCCAGATGGTGCATCACTTTGTATGACCTCAAGTTCTTCGAGTCTGAGGTGCACAGATTTATCCAAGGTGGCCTGACTTTCCAGGACAACTTTTCGAAGGATGGGCCTAGCATTTATGCAGTCAATGAAGAGTACATCAAGCCAGTCACAGCTGCTGCTGGCAAAATGAGCTGGGCCTTGATGATGCATCCAGATGGACTTGACTGTGATTTGTTCATTACTCACGCTTGGCAGGAAGGTGTTTTTGAATTTACGCAAAAGGTGCTGACATCTTGGCCTTGGAGAGCGCGCCATGCTTGGTGCTGCATGCTTGCGAATCCCCAGAATTTGAATATTTCAGCCATGATTCGGTGCCCAACATCATCGCCTTTTGCACAAGCCCTGAGGCGTTCCAAGATTTTGTTGGTGGTGCCTAACCGGAACACAAGTGTTTACACAAGGTTGTGGTGTGGATATGAAGCATACTTGGCGTTTCAAAGCAACAAGATTATCCAGACTGCCAGGCCTCCGATTTGGCCCCAAGTGCTGTTGGCTTGGCTTCTGATGTGTCCAGCACTTCTGGTAGGTCTCATAGTTGGTGCGATCATCGGCACTGAGGAGTCGATGCCTGCCATGTTGTTGACACCCGGAACCAGAGCAACGAGAGGGCTAACGCTCCTGGCCAGCTTGATAAGCCAGAACACTGGTCACAACAGATTATGTTTGATAGTGAACCATGTTGGGCTGTCGGCTTGTCTTGCCTGCCTGATTATTTCATCAAACGCAGATTTGCTTGTCAAGGTTGACACTCTGCTTCCAGAAGAGGACAGGCCAGTACAACTTTTCTTGCGCAGTATGCTGCTTGTCTATTTCATGCTTGCCGAGTTGGACCGGGTTGGCTTGCACGTCGCAGCGCGTGAAACGGACCTGCTGGAAAACCAGTACCAAGGGTCGATTCGTCAGGCATCCTGTTCCCAGATCGAGGATGAGAGGAACATTCGAAGTGAAATTGGCGATCAAGTCGATGAGGTTGACAAAGTAATTGAAGTACTGTTGAAAGCCGGTATGACATCAGCTGCACTGCGAGATGCACACATTCACGGGGTAGTGCTCAAGCATTCGGGAGTTGTCCAGTTGGCAATCCCTATAATTGTGCTTGGGCCTCTCCTACTTGAGGGTTCCTGGGCTATTGGCAAGCATATTGCTTACAATCCAATAACTGACATGCACTGGTTCCTCGTGTTTCTACAAGCAGTTTCTTGTATTGCAAGGTTTAGCTTCTTGATTCTTCTTTGGAGACGCTCCGCTGACGAAAGATGCTTTATGCTAAACGTGATGGCAAAGATTGTCGCTCCAGTGTTGTTCTTCGAGATTATGCTGCCCGCTGTGACCGCTCAGCACTCCATATTGGCCGCGAAAACTTTTTATCACCTGTCTTACATGGCGGTGTTTGTTTTTGCGTTCTTGGGCATACGTGGTACCTTGAAGTTGCCCTTCGGCCCGTGGTTTGTCGAAATCATGTTGAACAGGATCCTCACATGCAAAGTCATTAGCCATCAACACTCTAGAATGGATCCTTCACCCTCTGAGATGAGCGCAATGGAGGAGTTGTCGCCATTGTCGCCCAATGTGTTTGGGCAGGAGTTTGGCAGTGACGGGTCAGAAGCATTTTGGATGGGCGAGTCAGATTCGGAGGTGCACTCGTGGAGATAGCACGGTCACACCTCTCCATGGTCGCGTTCCTCTGCTGCTTGGCCTCCAATGTCGTTGCATCTAGAAAGCAGGCGCTGAAAATAGCCCTCAGTGGTGACGGGCATCAGGGAGAAGATGACGAGTTCTTTTGATTCGAGTTTTGTTGGAAAGCTTTCAGCATCCCATCAGGCGATTGCCTCGCCTGATTGGGGCGGCTCATGCCGCTGGTAGTTTTCTATTTTGCAAGAAGAGCGGTAAAATCTTTCCTGAAATAATCGGATCTGGGACGCTGGACAGAAATTTGGCTGGTTTGAGGATACTGTCAAGTGTGAAACAGGTGCTCAAATGTACACCAGATATCACCAGATAGCACCAGATAACAGGTGCTTTGTCGTGTGTTGGTGCATTGTGGTTTGGTTCATGACCCATGGTATTGAAGTCCATGGTGCTGCTTGGTAAGTGTTCCATGTGCCACAATAATGGAGACATCTCGAGTCGCAGCTCTCTTCATGAGTTTGTGCATTAGATGGACTGAGTGGGAATGACCAAGGTAGTGTGTGCAAGGGCTTTTATACACCTGTTGTTTGTTGTTTCAAGTCAACTGGACTTTGGGGCTCACCCCACATTGCACTCACTGGAGGAATCATTGTGTGAGCGTTTCTTTTTGGCCAGCATGGGTAAGGCCACCTGATATACCCCACAGCAGTGTTTTTGATCCTAATTTATGATATTTTAGGCAATTGTCTACCATCAAAACGAACCCCAGTGGGCGCCCGCAAACAAGTTTAACTTAAATATCCTCCTGACATCCAGACTTTCCACATTTTTCCACGAATGCACTTTGTGCTTACCGGGATTGGAAGACGACACCAGGAAAACAAGAACAAAGCCTGCTCTTGTACTCTTTGCTTCTTTGATTGTCATGTCTTCCAGCCATGATTCAGCAGCGCCCAACATCGTCGCCTTTTGCACATGCCCTGGGGGAGTTCTAAGTTTTTGTTGGTGGTGCCTAACCGGAACACAAGTGTTTACACAAGGTTGTGGTGTGGATATGAAGCATACTTGGCGTTTCAAAGCAACACGATTATCCAGACTGCCACGCCTCCGATTTGGCCCCAAGTGGTGTTGGCTTGGCTTCTGACGTGTCCAGCACTTCTGGTAGCTGTCATTGTTGGTATGCTCAGAATTGAGAAGTCGGAGACTGCCATGTTGTTTACACCGGGAGCATGTTTGGATGGGGTTGGCCGCTTCCTTCGTGTTCTTGAAGCGGCCAACCTCACAACAGCTTTGGAAGAGGGGCTTTGGGAAGGTCAAAGCATGGGCGGCATGGGTGGCATGGGTGGCTTCCCCTTCCATTTTGGTGGAACCAACCTCAGTCGACTGTTAGTCGACTGTTGAGATGCATGGCCCCCACGTCGAAGCGACCTTTGGTCGGGGCTTGGCCACGGAGTGCCAAGATTTTCATTATGCCAAATTCCACATTCACCATATTCGCTGATAGTCCAAAACATGCCTTGTCACTGAGGCATGGGTGGCATGGGCATGAGAAAGGGCGCAAGCAAAAGGAGGCGCAGGGGACAGCTACAGTCGTTTCTGGCATTTTCAGAGTCATAAGACACGGAAATGCAGTTTTGCAATTTGTTGATGCTGTCCAGGCATGGGTTGGGTTTGCTCATCAAGTTGCAAGATTGACATAGATTTACAGCAATGTCCTAGTGCAGGCAGCACACACACACACCCTTTGTTGCAAGCAGGTTTCAAAAACAAGCACCGCACTTTTAGAGCGGCCACGGTTTGCAGCCATGGCCGATGAGGATTGGAGCAAAAGTCCTCAGACCCCTTGCGAGTTCTCATGGCAGCTTCCACTAATGAAGGACACAGTGGAGTCCATTCGATTCAAGAATCACCATTTTGGCAAATCGAAGATCCACGAAATTGTGAAACTTTGTTGGGCCAATATGTTGAAAGATGCCAGGGCGGCAAATGTGGTGAGCATCAACATCACAGACAGTCGACCTTGGCCAAAGGTAATTGCTGGAGCACCGGACAAAATCCGCGGCAAACTTGTTGGGACTGGCATCGTTCAGTGCCATTTGGAAATGGATAGAAGTCGCATCAATCCGAACCTCTTGGACCGACCTCAGCCAAACTTTGTGCTGACTTATGCAGACGGGTGGAAGGCCATCTGGCACCCGGGTAGCAAGGGAGATGGCTTTCTGGCTTTCAAAGAGCCCGGTGGCCAGCTGCATGGTGATGATCTCCGCAAAGAGGATATTACTCTGGCCTTCCGATTGGCTGCGGGATGGGAGGTTCAAGGGAGATGGGAGGCAGGGATTCCCAAGAGCTTCAGCAAAAAGAAGGAAGAATTTCAGCGCTTGCACCGGCCGAATGGCTGGACGGCTGATGACTTTCAGATCGGAGCCAGCGTCCCTTGGACCTGCAGCAAAGCGGCTTCCCTATGGGTCGAACACCTGCATGGTACCGTGGTGAACCTCAAAATGAATGCACACCATGGAAATATCCACGTACACATTGCGTTGGCAGAAGCGGGTTGTGACTTTTGCGCGAAGACACGAAGACACGAAGACACACGAAGACACACGAAGACACGTGAAGACACGAAGACACGCGAAGACACGAAGACACGAAGATACGCGAAGACACGCGAAGACACGAAGATACGCGAAGACACGAAGACACGCGAAGACACGAAGAGGCTTCAGGTCTTCAAGGCTTCAGGTCGTCACTAGGCTTCAGGTCTTTAAGGCTTCAGGTCGTCACTAGGCTTCAGGTCGTCACCAGGCTTCAGGTCTTCAAGCCTTCAGGTCGTCACAAGGCTTCAGGTCTTCAAGGCTTCAGGTCGTCACTAGGCTTTAGGTCGTCACCAGGCTTCAGGTCTTCAAGGCTTCAGGTCGTCACCAG